CCATCCTGGTCGTTGTGGATCGGTTCTTGAAGGCCTGTCGTCTCCTTCCCATGCCGGGTCTCCCCGCTGCCCTACAGACCGCTGAGGCACTATTCACTCACGTCTTCCGGCATTACGGGGTACCCGAGGATATAGTGTCTGATCGAGGCCCCCAGTTTACCTCTCGAGTCTGGAGAGCGTTCATGGAGCGCTTGGGGGTCTCGGTGAGCCTTACCTCGGGGTACCACCCGGAGAGCAATGGGCAGGTTGAACGGGTAAACCAGGATGTGGGTAGGTTTCTGAGGTCGTATTGCCAGGGCCGGCCGGAGGAGTGGGCGAGGTATGTTCCCTGGGCCGAGATGGCCCAGAACTCCCTTCGCCACTCCTCCACCAGACTCACTCCTTTCCAATGTGTACTAGGGTACCAGCCGGCTCTGGCACCTTGGCATCAGAGCCAGATCGAGGCTCCTGCGGTGGATGAGTGGGTGCGGCGCTCGGAGGAGACATGGAACGCTGCTCACGTACATCTGCAGCGGGCCATCCGTCGACACAAGGCGAGCGCCGATCTCCACCGCAGTGAGGGACCGGTGTACGCACCGGGAGATCGAGTCTGGCTCTCGACCAGAAACCTGCCCCTCCGCCTGCCCTGCCGGAAGCTGGGTCGGCGGTTTGTGGGGCCTTTTAAAGTCCTGAGGAGGTTGAACGAGGTGTGTTACAGATTACAACTTCCTATTGATTATAAGAATATTAACCCCTCGTTCCATGTGTCTCTCCTCAGGCCGGTGGTAGCTGGTCCACTCCAGGACTGTGAGATAGCAGAGACTCCTCCGCCCCCGCTGGACATCGAGGGGGCTCCGGCGTACACAGTTCGGTCAATCCTGGATTCGAGACGCCGGATGGGGGGTCTCCAATATCTCGTGGAGTGGGAGGGGTACGGTCCGGAGGAGCGGTGCTGGGTGCCGAGGAGAGATATCTTAGACCCGTCCCTTCTGACTGAGTTCCATCGTGGTCATCCCACGCGCCCTGCTCCGCGTCCTCCTGGTCGTCCCCGAGGCCGGGGTTGGCGCACGGCTGGAGCCGCGCGTCAAGGGGGGGGCACTGTCATGGTTTCTGCCGAGGCTGCTCCTTCTCCTTGTTCGGGCAGGCTTCGGCGGTCGTCGTCCCCGGAGTACTAGCTGCCACCGTTCGTTGTTTCTGTGTTCGTTTGGTTTGGTCTGTTTTGGTACACCTGTTTCTCATTTTGTCTTGATTATGTGTCCTTTAAGTTCTCGTTGTTTCTGTCTTGTGGTTGTGTGTAGTTATTCATTGTCAGCAGGTGTTTCCATGTCAAGTTTGTGCTCTATTTCTGTAGAGAGTCCGCACCATTGTGCGTGTTTTGTTTATTACGCTGAGTGCGTTATTTTTCTTGTGCCTCCGGCTCTGTTTGTAGCCGTTCATTCTGTGGACTTTATCAAAGTATTTTGGACTACTTCTGCATCCTGCATCTGATTCCCACACCACCCCTACGCCAGCTTTGACAAGAGGGGTAGTATTGCCACATCAGAGTGGGTTCTGGAAGGGTAGGGGAACTATGGATCCAGTGCTCTGCTTAGAAGCAGAGGTTAGGAAGGCTCAGGTGAACAAGGAGACTGTTGTAGCTGTCTTTTTTGATGTGGAGAAGGCGTATGATATGATGTGGAAGGAGGGGTTGTTAATCAAGCTTGATATTATGGGGGTAGGAGGAAGAACGTACAACTGGATAAAGGATTTCCTGTTTGGAAGGTCTATCCAGATGAGGGTGTGGAAGTCTTTATCTGGCAGCTACTTGGTGGATAACGGTACACCACAGGGGAGCGTGATTAGTCCTCTGTTGTTCTCAATCATGATCAATTATGTTTACTCTCAGGTACAGTCGGGTATAGGGAAGTCGTTATTTGCAGATGATGGGGCCTTATGGAAGAGGGGAAGAAATGTGCCATACATAGTCAGGAAGGTACAGGAAGTAATTGATGAGGTAGAGCAGTGGGCATTAATGTGGGGATTCAGGTTCTCTGTAGAGAAAACTCAAACAGTGTTCTTTACCAGGAGGAAGGTGGGAGATGAGGTATGCTTGAGGTTATATGGGAGAAACTTGGAGAGGGTGGTGGCCTTCAGGTTCCTTGGGGTATACTTTGACACAAGACTGACCTGCGCAGAACACATTGAGAGCGTAGTGGGAAAGTGTAAGAAGGTGCTAAATGTGATGCGCTGTCTGACGGGGAAGGAGCTGACGGGGAAGGAGTGGGGGGCTGGGCGTTCCTCATTGAAGACCATGTATGTTGCATTGATCTGATCTGTAATAGACTATGGCAGTATTGCATATGGTTCGGCAGCCCGAACCTCACTGGAAAGGCTAGATGTCATACAGGGGCAAGGACTCAGAATATGTAGTGGGGCGTTTCGGACGTCCCCAGTGGCTGCATTACAGGTGGGGGATATGCCATTGCAGATTAGGAGACAGCAGCTGGCAATTAATTATTGGGTCAACCTACAATGACATGGGGTGTCTCATCCTGCGAAAGGGATTTTACAGGCATGCTGGGAACATTAGGAAAGACAGAACATGAGCTTTGGCTGGGTGGGTAATACCCAGGCGAAGGAGATGGGACTGTATGGAAGGGAGTTTAGTCCAACGGTAGTTATTCCTGTAAATCCACCATGGCTACTCCCGCCTCCAGTAGTTGATCTAGACGTGTTGGAGAGACTACAGAAAGATAGGGAGGGTGTTGATCCAGTTGATTTCTTTAAGAGATGTCTGGAAACTGTGTATCAGAATTTTGTGGCCATTTACACAGATGGTTCAAAAGATCCAAGGACAGGACATACTGGGTCAGCATTTGTAGTGCAGGAATGTGGGGTAGAAGTCAGGAAACGTATTACAGATCATCTGGCGGTATATACGGCGGAGCTGATGGCCATAGTGTTGGCCTTGCAGTGGGTGGAGGAAGTCAAACAAGACAGAGTAATTATTTGCTCTGATTCATGTGCAGTGTTAATGAGTCTCCAGTCCTTTAGCTCATGTAGCAGACAAGACCTGCTTTATGAGGTGCTACAAACCCATGGCAGGATTAAACAGATGGGTATTCAGATAAGATTTACTTGGGTCCCAGCCCATGTAGGGGTGGAGGGGAACGAGGCAGTAGATGAACAGGTTAAACAAGCACTTAGTAGTGGGAATGTTGATGTTGAAGTTTCAATGAGCAAGGCAGAGGCAAAAATACTGATATATACAGTGATGGTGCAGAGATGGCAGGAGCAGTGGAATAGAGATAATAAGGGAAGGCATTTATTTCATGTACAGAGGAAAGTCGGGGAGGGGAGGACGGCAGGAAGGGACAGAAGAGAGGAGGCTATTTTTTACAAGATTAAGGGTGGGACACAGCCAGTTGAATAAGACATTAAATGTAATAGGAAAGCATCCATCAGGAAAGTGTTATTATTGTCAGGAAATAGAGACTGTGGAGCATGTAATGTATGCACTCACTAACTGTAAGTTGCTCTGGATAAGAGCGTCTGCTAAATGACTAAAATGTAAATGTTATTGTATTGCTACAGTGTGGGCTGTATCAGAGGGAAAGAGAGAGGATGAGATCTAGTATGAGGGAGAAGGGGATACAGGAAATTAGTTTAAAGAGTATATTGAGTAGAACGTCATTAGATATAGTCTCAAATATTTTGTTATCTTTTTAAAGAGAAACTGGGTTGGCAGGTAGGATTTAGTTTCTCCCTGTCTCTGGCCCACACTCTAGTACAATAGGTGGCGGTAATGCACCATAACGTTGGATGCCAACCGCCGATAAACCCCACTGAAGAAGAAGAAGAAGAAGTCCACTCCTTTCGAAACCCCACTTTTCCTGCAAGATGACATAGCAGTAGGTGACAGCATAGAGACCCTGAGGGATGACTGCGATCTGAGAGATTATGTCGCAGCTGGACCCACCCCCTGGAAGAAGGCCGCCAGAAACGTTTTGTCACTGAAAAATACTGTGGGCTGCAACAGTGTGATAAAGCCGGTTAACATTTGTATTTATCCTTAATTTAACTAGGCAAGTCAGTTAAGAACAAATTCTTATTTACAATGATGACCTACCCCGGCCTCCCCTAACTCGGACTATGCTGTGCCAATTGTGCGCCGCCCTATGGGACTCCCGATCAGTTGATATACAGCCCGGGATCAAACCAGGGTCTACAGTGACACCTCTAGCACTGAGATGCAGTGCCTTAGACCGCTGCGCCACTCCGGAGCCCTTAAACAGTTTACAGTGTACAGTAAGTGTATATTTTGAATTTGCGCGATTATTATTACTTTGATGTGATATGATATGAACGCCTATCAGCATTACAAAGTAGGCTACTGTACTAAATACCTTTTAGAGACTGACTCACTATACATCATATTTTGGAATATACTCACTCGCCTGTTCCTTTCTGACTGTACTACTCTTCTCCTGAAACTACGTATCCCATGATTCTTTGGAAACGCATGCACCATGGAAACAGGAAGGAGGTTGTTTGCTAGCAACAGTCGCCGAGGAGTGAAATGTTAATTGTGAAACGGTAAGAAATGTGTAAGAAATGAATAGTTAACTGTCAAAATTATGCATGCTTTACCATTGGATAGACACGTTTGAAATGGACGATAGCTAACTTGTTAGCTTGCTTATCCACTCTAAAACTAGCTAGCTAATTGAGACTTGACTTCAGACGAGCCGCTTGTTTTGTAGGTAGCCAACCCCACCTAGTTTAGCTAGCCTATTTGTGAGCTCAGCGTAGTCTTTTGAACGAGAAATGTAGCTAAGTTAGTAGGACAAGAATAAGATGTACACCTATTCTAGACATTGATAGCAGCTAGTTAGTACTGTTAGTTGCATGGTTTTTATCTGACCTTCCTAGATGCAACAAGCCACAGGAGGCTGTGTCCAAGAAGAGGCTGTGTCCTGTTAGTTGTCTTTCATTGATGGGTTGTAGCTATAATGCTCGACCTTTTATTTCCAGATTGAACCATGTCTACGTTTGCTGACGAGACTGCAGCAGATGTGCCCGTTAAAGACATCAACCTTAACCTCACTAAGGTCGGAGTGGGATTATCAGGTTATTAATGCCATTGCCTACTACTTTACTGTAGTTTACTTTACTCTACCCTATGCACCTTAACTTTTTGTGTCTAAACTGGTGGTAACTTCCTGGTTCTGTTTGCAGAGTCGCTGGTAGCCCAGAATGCCCGGGCGAGGCAGGCGATCTTGCGGGTGAGCAGGGAGGAGCTGGAGGACAGGTTCCTACGCCTCCATGAGGAAAACCTGCTCCTTAAACAACACGCACACAAACAGGAGGACAAAATCAAGAGGTGGGAACTGCACCTGGATGCATGCACACACATGCAACACACGCAACACACACACACACACACACACACACACGTACACACATATTTAACAAAGGTTTCAACCCCAATGCATACCCCTACAGTATCAAACCTTAGAGTTCAACAACTCTTCATATGGATTTCTGACCCTTTCCTCTGCTCCCATTCTATTGAACTTCTAACTTGTTTTTCCTGACCTTGGCTTTTCACAGGATGGCCACCAAGCTGGTGCGCTTGGTGAAGGACCGTCGGCGTGTGGAACAGGTGGCTGCAGGCGGGGTGCGTCCAGGGGGCCGGGACGTGGAGCTGGAGGAGATGATGGAAGAGCTGCAGGAGAAGGTGGACCACTTTGGAAATAAGTGTATGCGTCCAAAATTGCACCCTTATTCCCTATATAGTGCACTAGTTTTTACTAGGGCTCTGGTCAAAAGTAGTGCAGGGAATAGGGTGCCATTTGGGACACAGGCAGTGTTTTCATGAATGCTTTCATGTGTTATCCTCTGGGATATCAAATGTGCATCTTGTCGATGTACGTTTTGTTTATTTGCAACCCAAAATCGAGTGTAATTCAATTCTAGGTCCAGGAGCTGCAGATGCAGAATGAGGGCCTGAAGCAGCGCCTGTTGGCCGCTAAACAGCAGCTGCAGACGCAGAGCAAACGGCCCAACCCCTACGGCCATGTCCAATCACGAGTCAATACAGGCCTGCGGAGGCTTAAGGAGGACACATTCACCCTGGCTCAGCTACCCCCTGCTGCCCCCAGAGGTGACCTTTTACTGTAGCTCTTTGATACTCTGACACTGAATCCCAAATTAACTCCTAGTCTCTACTCCCTAGGCATAGATTGGATAGGAAAGCAATATGGCGTCAACCTCATGTTAGAATTTTGGAGGGAGTTTTTCTGTTAGCCTTAACGTTTGTGTCTGTTTGTGTCTCCCAGGCCCCAGAAGTGTGGAGGTGGAGATGAGTGGCAGGGCCCCCCAGGGACTGCTGCCCAGATACGGACACAGTTTGCTGGACGACGCCAGAGCTGAGATCCGCAACCTGTATGTACTGTTCTTATCAGCTAGCTAGACTGTATGGGACGGTACTTTTTGCCCCATATTAGCAACATCCCCTCCATGACTGGAATGCTCTCTCTCTTTCTCTCCCTATCCTCCCTCTCTATCTGTTTATCTCTCCATCTCCCCCTTCCCTCTCATTGGTCTCATTTTTTAATATATATATTATACAACGGGTTACCAACATATTCAAATAATGATTGACGTATTTTCATTTAAAAAAAAATATTTTGATGAATTTATTCCTACTATTTCATCCTTCCACAAGATATAGTCCCGACACAAGTCTAGGGTTGCTACCCAAGCCGGCTGATCGTTCGTTCTATCAGTTCAGTGGCCAGAGATGCGACCCAGTCGTTCAGTCTTTTTGTTCTGTATCTATAGACGTTCTAAATGTTCCATTGCCATACTGGCTGGCAACGTTCTTATCCCTTGCTTGCTAGCTAGCCAACTACGGCTAATTTACAGTCACGTCAAACAGTGCAGCCAGAATAACAACAGTAGCTGCATTTGCATTTGTTTAAGCTGTTTTCTAGTGGCATTTATTTGGAGACATTCATAACAATGAGCTAATGAGGCGCGATTTTGCCTGGCATAGAAAATGTGCTCTCTCGTCAGGACACTGTTGTTCAGAGGAGCCAGCCAACAACACAGCTAACACAATCACTTCAAACTGAAGCTGGAAGACTGCAAACTAGCTGCACTTCGTTTTACCTTTTTTCAATTTACATTTCTTTGTATATATCCATAAAAATGATGCCAGCTGATTCATGATTTCGACTGGCTGAGAAACGCTGTCTGCCTTTCTGTCTGTCTCGTCCCGACTCTCGACACGTTAATTACTATGGGACAGCAGGAGATCGAATTTGAATATTGAAACAATGTTGCAAATGTTGGAGAGACAGACAGCAAGGTTTATACAAATCTCTGCTGTTAAAAACTAAATGTTAGTCTAAAAGAAATGTGAGATAATGTCTAGATGCTTTTTATAGTGGATATTACGTTTATAAATTGCTTGGCTGGGCTGATGAGACAGTGGATTGCGCAGTCAGATGGAACAGAGTAAATAGGCATTTTAACGTCAGATTTAGCCGGTGGAATAGACACCGGCTGGAATAGACCAACCCGTTGTATAAATTATAATAGAGCCCCACAGTGGAGGTGTCATAAAACCTAGCGGTCAATCAGGACAATGGTTCCAATTGTTTTTCCACCATTTGATAAAAGTCGCCTTGTCCTAGAGAGATTTACACGGTTATCAAAACGTCACGCCAGGGTAAGCCTACACGAAACACAGCCCTTATTTTAAGTGTTTCTAAAATCCCCTATGGGAAAAATGAATGGTGGAAAAATGATTGGAACCATTTCCCTGTTTGACTGCTAGGTTTTATGGGTGTTATGACTCATACTGTGGTAATCTATACACTAAGTATTCTAAGCTGCAGGAGGATCTCCTATAATTTTGTGCCGATTTACATCCGGCTGGCCACTGCTGTGTTTTGTATTATTTACCCATAATGCTAATTGAATTGACATTCCAAATGACCATTAAATAAAGCCCTGATTTGATTATTTCTACCAAGATTCATTCGGTTGTCCAAAAAAACAGAACACTAAAAAACATAAGCATAAGCAAAAAACAGAACACTAAAATACATAAGCAAAAAAACATAAGCAAAATCCTTCCAATATTGCTATTTTACTTTTCAAAATGCATACTGTCATTAATAATTATTGCATCATCATTTAACCCATGATGACGTCACTCCGCCCCCCTCCAGCCCTAGAAAAGAGACCCCCGGCCCATCTAAAAGTAATTCATAGTCTTATCTATCAATCACAGACTAGCCGCCCTGTCCGCAGGCAACACAGCACCAGACAGGCCGCAGGCTTTAGACCGGCTGGGTATCCTACCTGACTGAACCGCCCCCTCCCGTTTCTCCCTCCCGACAGACCCCTGGTAGTGTAGAAATGTTAGTCTGCTTAAGTAAAAGAGGGCTTTTAACTACACTGAACAAAAATATAAACGCAACATGTAAAGTGTTGGTCCCATGTTTTAATGAGCTGAATAAAAAATCCCAGAAATGTTCCATACTCACAAAAAGCTTATTTCTCTCAGATTTTGTGCACAAATTTGTTTACTTTCCTGTTACTGAGTTTTGTCACACAACACAATGCCACAGATGTCTCATGTTTTATGGGAGCACGCAATTGGCATGCTGACTGCAGGAATGTCCAGCAGAGCTGTTGTCAGATAATTTAATGTTAATTTCTCCACCATAAACTGCCTCCAATGTCATTTTAGAGAATTTGTCAGTACTTCCAACTGGTGTAACCACACCAGCCCAGGAGCTCCACATCCGGATTCTTCACCTGCCGGATCGTTTGAGACCAGCCACCCGGACAGTTGATGAATCTGTGGGTTGGCACAACCGAAGAATTTCTGCACAAACTGTCAGACTGTCTCAGGGAAGCTCATCTGCTTACTCATCGTCCTCACTAGGATCTTGACCTGACTGCAGTTTGATGTCGTAACCGACTTGAGTGGGCAAATACTCACCTTCGATGGCCACTAGCACGCTGAAGAAGTGTGCTCTTCACGGATGAATCCCGGTTTCAACTGTACCGGGCAGATGGCAGACGGTGTGTATGGCGTCATGTGGGCGAGCGGTTTGCTGATGTCAACGTTGTGAACAGAGTGCCCCACGGTGGCGGTGGGGTTATGGTATGGGCAGGCATAAGCTACGGACAACGAACACAATTGCATTTTATCGATGGCAATTTGAATGCACAGAGATACCGTGATGAGATTCTGAGGCCCATTGTCATGCCATTCATCCGCCGCCATCACCTCATGTTTCAGCATGATAATGCACGGCCCCATGTCGCAAGGATCTGTACACAATTCCTGGAAGCTGAACATTTCCCAGTTCTTCCATTGCCTGCATACTCACCAGACATGTCACCCATTGAGCATGTTTGGGATGCTCTGGATCAACGTGTACGACAGCGTGTTCCAGTTCCCGCCAATATCCAGCAACTTCACAGCCATTGAAAAGGAGAGGGACAACATTCGACAGGCCACAATCAACTGATCAACTCTATGCGAAGGAGATGTGTCACTGCATGAGGCAAATGGAGGTCACATCAGATACTGATTGGTTTCCTGATGCACACCCCTACCATTTTTTAAGGTATCTGTGACCAACAGATGCGTATCTGTATTCCCAGTCATGTGAAATCCATAGATTAGGGCCAAATTAATTTATTTAAATTGACTGATTTCCTTAAATGAACTGTAACTCAGTAAAATCTTTGAAATTGTTGCATGTTGCGTTCAATATTTTTGTTCAGTGTAAAACTGTTACGACTCTGACTTGTTATTATTAGATGGTTTATAAGAGTTTTAGGCAGTAGAGTTAATAATAGATAAGTAGATGATAATAATAATACTAATAGCCCAATCTGTTAGGGAAATATACAATTAAAACATTGAATAATTGTATCTGTCCCTAACAAATGAATAAATACATTAAAACAATGTATTTATTGAAAACATTGATACATTCAATAGTCAAGTCAGATGCAATGCACCATTATGGTTTAGTTTGCACTCATTTGCAGCATAGGCCTACAATCATTTATTGATCCAGTGGTTGGATTCCAACCATTATAAATGGCAAATCATTAATTCATAAACGTTAACTATAGATATAACATTGCACAACATTGACAGACGACTACGGAATAAAATAGACAGGGGAATATAAACTGAAAGGCTATTAGTTTAAAAGTATAACATTTATAGGATAATTTCAAGATCCATAATAAGCTGAAAATCATCTACAGTGCTATGAAAAGTATTTGCCCCCTTTCTAATTTTCTCTACTTTTGCATATTTGGTTTGGTTTTCGCCAGGCATAATGGGACCCATCTCGTCCAAAAAGTTGACTCAAGTTTGCCAAAAAGCACCTGGATGATCATCAAGACTCTTGGAAGAATGTTCTATGGACAGATGATTCAAAAGTATAACTTTTTGGACGACATGGTTCCAGTAATGCCTGGTGAAAACCAAACTCTGCATTCCACAGTAAGAACATCATACCAAAGGTAAAGCGTGGTGGTGGTGGTGTGATGGTTTAGGGATGCTTTGCTGCCTCAGGACCTGGACGACTTGCCTTAATAGAAGGAACCATGAATTCTGCTCTGTATCAGATAATTCTACAGGAGAATGTCAGACCATCCGTCTGTGAGCTGAAGCGCAGCTGGGTCATGCAGCAAGACAATGATCCAAAACACACAATGAAGTCTACATGAAAATTGCTAAAAAGCAACAAATTGGAAGTTTTGGAATGGCCTAGTCAAAGTCTAGACCTAATCCCAATTGAGATGTTGTGGCAGGACTTGAAACGAGCAGTTCATGCTTGAAAACCCACACGTCACTGAGTTAAAGCAGTGGGCCAAAATTCCTCCACAGCGACGTGAGAGACTGATCAACAACTACAGGAAGCATTTGGTTGGAGTCATTGCAGCTAAAGGTGGCACAACCAGTTATTGAGTGTAAGGGGGCAATTACTTTTTCACACAGGGGAAATGGGTGTTGCATAACTTTGTTTATGAAATAAATATGTAATTGTTGTGTTATTTGTTCACTTATGTTCCCTTTATCTAATATTAGGTTTTGGTTGAAGATCTGATAACATTCAGTATCACAAATATGCAAAAGTAGAGAAAATGCAAGTCTCCCTTGTGGGGCAGTGGTCTAAGGCACTGCATCGCAGTGCTAGCTGTGCTACTAGAGATCCTGGTTCGAATCCAGGCTCTGTCGTAGCCGGCCGCGACCGGGAGACCCAAGGGGCGGCGCACAATTGGCCCAGCGTCGTCCAGGGTAGGGGAGGGAATGGCCGGCAGGGATGTAGCTCAGTTGGTAGAGCGTGGCATTTGCAACGCCAGGGTTGTGGGTTCGATTCCAGTATGAAAAAAAATAAAAAATGTATGCACTCACTAACTGTAAGTCGCTCTGGATAAGAGCGTCTGCTAAATGACGTAAATGTAAATGTAAATAACCTAAAAGGCCACTCAGCAAGGAAGAAGCCACTGCTCCAAAACCGCCACTATGGTTTGCAACTGCACATGGGGACAAAGATCGTACTTTTTGGAAAAATTTCCTCTGGTCTGATGAAACAAAAATAGAACTGTTTGGCCACAATGACCATCGTTATGTTTGGAAGAAAAAGAGGGGGACTTGCAAGCTGAAGAACACCATCCCAACCGTGAAGCACAGGGGTGGCAGCATCATGCTGTGGGGGTGCTTTGCTGCAGGAGGGACTGGTGCACTTCACAAAATAGATGGCATCATGAGGAACGAAAATTATGTGGATATATTGAAGCAACATCTCAAGACATCAGTCAGGAAGTTAAAGCTTGGTCGCAAATGGACAATGACCCCAAGCATACTTCCAAAGTTGTGGCAAAATGGCTTAAGGACAACAAAGTCAAGGTATTGGAGTTGCCATCACAAAGCCCTGACCTCAATCCTATAGAACATTTGTGGGCAGAACTGAAAAAGCGTGTGCGAGCAAGGAGGCCTACAAACCTGACTCAGTTTCACCAGCTCTGTCAGGAGGAATGGGCCAAAATTCACCGAACTTATTGTGGGAAGCTTGTGGAAGGCTACCCGAAACGTTTGACCCAAGTTAAACAATTTCAAGGCAATGCTACCAAATACTAATTGAGTGTATGTAAACTTCTGACCCACTGGGAATGTGATGAAATAAATAAAAGCTGAAATAAATCATTCTCTCTACTATTATTCTGACATTTCACATTCTTAAAATAAAGTGGTGATCCTAACTGACCTAATTTGGTTAAGGTGTATGTAAACTTCCGACTTCAACTGTATTATTATTATTATTTTATATATATATATATATATATATATATATATATATATATATATATATATATATGTATGTATATATATACAGTTGAAGTTGGAAGTTTACATACACCTTAGCCAAATACATTTAAACTCAGTTTTTCACAATTCCTGACATTTAATCCTAGTAAAAATTCCCTGTCTTAGGTCAGTTAGGATCAGGTTTGTAGACCTCCTTGCTCGCACAAGCCTTTTCAGTTCTGCCCACACATTTTCTATAGGATTGAGGTCAGGGCTTTGTGATGGCCACTCCAATACCTTGACTTTGTTGTCCTTAAGCCATTTTGCCACAACTTTGGAAGTATGCTATATATATACACACAGTGCATTCGGAAAGTATTCAGACCCCTTGACTTTTTCCACATTTTGTTACGTTGCAGCCTTATTCTAAAATTGATTAAATTCATGTTTTTTCTCCTCAATCTACACAAAATACCCCATAATGACAAAGCGAAAACAGGTTTGTAGACATTTTTGCGAACGTATAAAAAAACAAAATACGGAAATACCTTATTTACATAAGTATACAGACCCTTTGCTATGAGACTCAAAATTGAGCTCAGGTGCATCCTTTTCCCATTGATCATCCTTGATGTTTCTACAACTTGATTGGAATCCACCTGTGGTAAATTCAATTGATTAGAGATTATTTGGAAAGGCACACACATGTCTATATAAGGTCCCACAGTTGACAGTGCATGTCAGAGCAAAAACTAAGCCATGAGGTCGAAGGAATTGTCCGTAGAGCTCCGAGAGGATTGTGTCGAGGCACAGATCTGGGGAAAGGTACCAAAAAATGTCTGCAGCATTGAAGGTCCCCAAGAAAACAGTGGCCTACATCATTCTTCAATTAAATACGTTTGGAACCACCAATACTCTTCCTAGAGGTGGCCACCCGGCCAAACTGAGCAATCGGGGGAGAAGGGCCTTGTTCAGGGAGGTTACCAAGAACCCGATGGTCACTCTGACAGAGCTCCAGAGTTCCTCTGTGGAGATGGGAGAACATTCCAGAAGGACAACTGTCTCTGCAGCACTCCACCAATCAGGTTCTTTATGGTAGAGTGGCCAGACGGAAGCCACTCCTGAGTAAAAGGCACATGACATCCCGCTTGGAGTTTGCCAAAAGGCACCTAAAGGACTCTCAGACCATGAGAAACAAGATTTTCTAGTCTGATGAAACCAAGATTGAAGTCTTTGGCCTGAATGCTAAGCATCACGTCTGGAGGAAACCTGGCACCATCCCTACGGTGAAGCATGGTGGTGGCAGCATCATGCTGTGGGGATGTTTTTCAGTGGCAAGGACTGGGAGACTAGTCAGGATCGAGGGAAAAATGAACGGCGCAAAGTACAGAGAGATCCTTGATGAAAACCTGCTGCAGAGTGCTCAGGACCTCAGTCTGGGGCGAAGGTTCACCTTCCAACAGAACAACGACCCTAAGCACACAGCCATGACAACGCAGGAATGGCTTCGGGACAAGTCTCTGAATGTCCTTGAGTGGACCAGCCAGAGCCCGGAATTGAACCCGATCTAACATCTCTGGAGAGACCTGAAAATAGCTGTGCAGCAACGCTCCCCATCCAACCTGACCGAGCTTGAGAGGATCTGCAGAGAAGAATGGGAGAAAGTCCCCACATACAGGTGTGCTAAGCTTGTAGCGTCATACCCAAGAAGACTCGAGGCTGTAATCGTTGCCAAAGGTGCTTCAACAAAGTACTGAGTAAAGGGTCTGAATACTTATGTAAATATGATATTTTAGTTTATTTTGTATACATTTGCAAAGTTTTTAAAAGAACTGTTTTTCCTTTATCATTATATGATATTGATGAGGGAAAAAAACAATTTAATCAATTTTAGAATAAGGCTGTAACGTAACAAATTGTAGAAAATGTCAAGGTGTTTGAAAACTTTCCGAATGCACTGTATAGATAGGTAGGTAGGTAGATAGATTGTGTGTGTGTGTGCATATAAACAGTCAGTGGCAAATGTATTAGGTACACCCATCTAGTACCGGGTCGGACCCAACTTTGCCTCCAGAACAGCCTGAATTCATCGGGGCATGGAAACTTTGCTCAGTTGGTATCACGGGACCTAACAAGACCGTTTTCCACACCACTGTTGTACTGCTCCGTTATTTGCCTGCTTGTGGCCCGCCTGTTAGCTTGCATGATTCTTGCCATTCTCCTTCAACCTCTCATCAACGAGCTGTTTTCGCCCACAAGACTGCCGCTGACTGGATGTTGTTTTTGTTTTTCTTACCATTCTCGGTAAACCCTAGACACTGTCGTGCATGAAAAGCCCAGGAGGCAGGTAACTGCCAAAATAAAGGAAACATTAAAATAGGGTCTTAATAGGTTGTTGGGCCACCACGAACCTGAACCGATTCAATGCACCTTGGCATAGATTCTACAAGTGTCTGGAACTCTATTGGAGGGATGCGACACCATTCTTTCATGAGAAATGTCATAATTTGGTGTATTGTTGATGGTGGTGGAAAACGCTGTCTCAGGGGCAGCTCCAGAATCTCCCATAAGTGTTCAATTGGGTTGAGATCTGGTCACGGCATATGGTTGACAATTGGGTTGAGATCATGGCATATGGTTGACATCGTTTTCATGCTCATCAAACCATTCAGTGACTACTCGTGCCCTGTGGATATGGTCATTGTCATCCTATGGGTTCATAGCCTTGGTAGACAAAATAATGGCCTGCCCAAGCGATTTTATACATAACCCTGAGCATGATGGGATGTTAATTGCTTAATTAACTTAGGAACCACACCTGTGTGGAAGCACCTGCTTTCAATATACCTTGTATGACTCATTTACTCAGTTGGTTCCATTATTTTGGCAGTTACCTGTATATTTTACCCTTTCTCTAATCACTATTAAAAGTATATATTTTTTTCTCACTTTGCTTTAGCAACAGTGACCTTGTCATTCATGCTAATAAAACTAATCTGAATCTTTGTCTGTCAGTGAGAATGTGATTGAGACTCAACGGTCTCACATAGAGGAGATGGACAGAGCTGCAGAGCTGCTGAGGGACCAGCTGAGGAGGAAGGAGAGAGAATTTGAGGAGACGCTCCTTCACCTGAGAGAGCAGCAGACCACTGGGCAAAGGTAACATACCATACAGAAGTAGCTACTCTGCATCTTAACAACACACTCCTCAATCAACTACATTTTTTTTTTTGGGGGGGGGGATTCACATCCACAATAAGGGGTAGTATTCACGTACCTGTGCATCTCCAGTTGCTTTTCAGTAACGGCGTACAACGCGCGCACACACACACACACACACACACATAACGCACACACACACTATATGGGGAATAGTGATCGAAAGCATGCCTCTGTGTTGTGGTGTCTCCAGATCTACTATCAAGGACAACGTGGAGATGATCAGGTTGCAGAAGCATCTTGTTGAGAAGGGCAACGCGTTCACTGTGCTCGAGGGCAGATTCCTACAACTCCAAGAGGTAAAATACAACTGCATGTTCCAGGAGACACTAGTTTATTAGCAATGCTCTAGCAATGTATGGTGTGGATTATTTGTGAAATGCAGGTTGCATTAGTATTGCAGCAGATGGAGGTTTTAAGAAAAATATTTGAGCTGATTCAGAAGAAGTTTTGGTCTCCACAGCACATTCTCATCAATCGACATGGAAACTTCAAATATCTTGTTCTTTCAAAGTGTTTGAAAGAACACATACTATTCAAACCCAGTCACCATGGTAATGACCACCATGTTGTGATTGCAGAGTCAGAGGACCTTGAAGGCCAGTCATGAAGCTGTGATGGCCAAGGTGGATGAGTTAACGGGCCAGCTGAAAGACGAGCGATTGAGGAGTCTGGGCCTGGAGAGCAAACTACAGGCCAACTCATTCTCACAGAGAAGGACAGAGGAGGTAACCTTACAATACATTTGGGGCTGGTTTCCCAGACCCAGATTAAGCCAAGTCCTCGACTAAAAAAGCACTTTCAATATTCTCCATTGAGCATGCTTTATAGTCCTGGACTAAGCTTAATCTTTGTCTGGGGAAAATGGCCCTTATGGTTTAGTCATTTAGCAGGCTCTTTTATCCAAAGCAATTTGATGAGACTGAAGCAATCTCATAACATTGTAGGGAAACCCTTGGCTAATAAACTATCCTCTTTTTAATGAAACACAGTTGCAGGAGCAAATCTATGACCTGGAGAAGGAGAGAGTGCTGCTGAAGGACAACTGTGATAAACTGGTGAACAGGTGAGGGATTGGACGCCACGTTTGTACGTTGCTGTGCATGTTGAAATCCTATATTGAAAACTTTTCTGTATGATCATTTTGTGGATGACATATGGTTTTGTGTTCGCAGTGCTTTCGATGTAAGCCAGGATCAGAAATGTAGGATGCGAGAGCAGCAGCTGAAACTACAGATAGCCCAGCTAGAGTTGGCACTGAAGTCGGACCTGACAGACAAAAACGAGATTCTGGACAAGATTAAGGTTGAAAGAGGTAACTGTCGACCAGAACCTTTTGTGTGCATTCACATTCAGAAACATTTTACATTTTAAATGTTTTAATTGTATTATTATTTTAGATATGAATGAAAAATTTAGTCAAGAAAATGAAGAGATTCAGCTTCGGTTCCTGGAGCAAAAGCAGCAGTTAGATGAAATAAAGGATCGAATAAAGTTTTACACCAAGGTACAGGAGCCATTTCTCACTCCATATAAAAATGAATGTGTTTTTGAATGCGTATTCCTCAACCAACATGGTTATAGATGTGCATTCATGTTTCTTTCTCTTCCAGGAGAGTGAGATCGATGTGGCAGAACTCAGTGAGGCACTGATGTTAATCAAGGTAATTGGTCATTTTATCTCAATTCAAATGTATTTATAAAGCCCTTTTTACATCAGCAGATGTCACAAAGTACTTATACAGAAACCCAGCCTAAAACCCCAAACAACAAGCAATGCAGATGTAGAAGCACGGTGGCTAGGAAAAACTCCCTAGAAAGGCAGGAAACTAGGAAGAAACCTAGAGCAGAACCAGGCTCTGAGAGGTGGCCAGTCCTCTTCTGGCTGTGCCGGGTGGCGATTATAAGAGTACATGGCCATTTAGGCCAGATCAGTCTCTCATCTCTACCTGAAGTCATACTGTAATGTGCACTTAGACCATATAGTGGGGGGAAAAAAGTATTTAGTCAGCCACCAATTGTGCAAGTTCTCCCACTTAAAAAGATGAGAGAGGCCTGTAATTTTCATCATAGGTACACGTCAACTATGACAGACAAACTGAGAAAAAAAAATCCAGAAAATCACATTGTAGGATTTTTAATGAATTTATTTGCAAATTATGGTGGAAAATAAGTATTTGGTCACCTACAAACAAGCAAGATTTCTGGCTCTCACAGACCTGTAACTTCTTCTTTAAGAGGCTCCTCTGTCCTCCACTCGTTACCTGTATTAATGGCACCTGTTTGAACTTGTTATCAGTATAAAAGACAACTGTCCACAACCTCAAACAGTCACACTCCAAACTCCACTATGGCCAAGACCAAAGAGCTGTCAAAGGACACCAGAAACAAAATTGTAGACCTGCACCAGGCTGGGAAGACTGAATCTGCAATAGGTAAGCAGCTTGGTTTGAAGAAATCAACTGTGTGAGCAATTATTAGGAAATGGAAGACATACAAGACCACTGATAATCTCCCTCGATCTGGGGCTCCACGCAAGATCTCACCCCGTGGGGTCAAAATGATCACAAGAGAACGGTGAGCAAAAATCCCAGAACCACACGGGTGGACCTAGTGAATGACCTGCAGAGAGCTGGGACCAAAGTAACAAAGCCTACCATCAGTAACACACTACGCCGCCAGGGACTCAAATCCTGCAGTGCAAGACGTGTCCCCCTGCTTAAGCCAGTACATGTCCAGGCCCGTCTGACTTTTGTTATTGACCAAATACTTATTTTCCACCATAATTTGCAAATAAATTCATTAAAAATCCTACAATGTGATTTTCTGGATTTTTCTTTCTCATTTTGTCTGTCATAGTTGACGTGTACCTATGATGAAAATTACAGGCCTCTCTCATCTTTTTAAGTGGGAGAACTTGCACAATTGGTGGCTGACTAAATACTTTTTTTCCCCAACTGTATGAAGAAAAAATAAAAGGAAAAAAAAAACATGTATGCACTCACTAACTGTAAGTCGCTCTGGATAAGAGCATCTGCTAAATGACTCCAATATAAATGTATACAGCATCACCATATGCTACCACTCCCATCCACAAGTGGGCATTAGTATTACAGTTTGCACTGAAACGAACCCCCTTCCCGGTTATCACTAGTTTACCACAGCAACAAAGTCAAAATTGGCTATATTGTAAAAAGTTATGAAAACAAAAAATAGCTTTTTGGTTTTCATTTAAGGTTAGGCATAAGGTTAGCAGTGTGGTTAAGGTTAGGGAGCAGGTTAGGGTTAGGTTTAGAATCAGATTTTAAGAAGATAAATTGTAGAAATAGGTGGGGTTTAGCCAGAATTCTAACTTTGTTGCTATGGTAACTACTGACGACCATTCTTCTCTCCCTCAGGTGCGTAAGTCCCACAGGAGTGGTGAGCTAGGCTTCCTGGAGCAGGTGGAGGAGGAGGTGCGTAGCGACACGGAGAACTCCACGAGGGAGCTGCAGGCCATGCACACTGAGACCATCCAGGAGCTGGAGAAGACCAGGAACATGCTCATCGTCCAGCACAAGATCAACAAGGACTACCAGGTACATGGTTATGCACAGCATGAATCACTTACTCTACACTTAGGAAAGTAGCTAGATATTCCATAACATTTGCAACAAGGACAATTTAATGGTGTCTTACATTACACATACTTTATAAATTATCTTTATTTGTAGTATTTTACTTGATAAGGTGACATACTTAAAAAAAAAAAAAAAAGTTTAACCGTATTCTTGTGTCTCAGGCGGAAGTTGAAGCGGTGACACGTAAGATGGATAATTCCAAACTGGAGTACGAGCTGAAGTTGGAACATCTTGCCCAGCTGCTGGACACGAGGGCTGCCAAGATCAAGAAACTAGAGGGTGTGTATTTATTCTGACATGATTGTAGTGGGTTGTGGTGATTTTATTGTTTTGTCTAGTTTTGTGTTGTTTGGTTTTGTCTTTATTGTAATATAAACTGATTTCCTTGTTGTACTGTACTCTCTCCATTCACCCCACAGCCCAACTGAAAGACATTGCCTACGGCACCAAAACACACGTTTTCAAACCCGAGGTTACAGACGACGACGTGGCCGACGAGTTCGACGAGACCGTACACCTGGAGCGTGGAGAGAACCTTCTGGAAATCCACATCGGCACGGCGACCCTCTCCTCAGTCGCCTTGGAGACACTGAGCGACCGTGAGCCCTCCACCTTCTGCACCTACGCCTTCTACGATTTTGAGCTGCAGGCTACACCTGTAGTCAGGGGCGCCCGGCCAGCGTACGGCTTCACGTCGCAGTATGTGGTGAGGGTGGACGACCTATTGCTGCAGTACCTTCACACGGGTTCGGTGACACTGGAGCTCCAGCTGGCCCGGGGCATGGACTTTACGACAGTGGCTGTGGGGCAGCTCAGGCTAACGCAGCTCCTGGAGAACGACAGCAAAGCCCATGGGACCGTACAGCTGGTTGGTGAGGGAAAAGGGATTTTAATATGGACTTCTTTCTATCAGGGTATGTAACTCAGATTATCAGCTATCTACTGTATATCCAGTACCTACAGTAACTCTGCTCTCAATTCTCTGCTCCTCAGGTGTGGCTGGCGAGGTGCAGTCGTTTGGCTCTGTGGAGTACTGGGTGAGGCTGCGGGTGCCCATGGAGCAGGCCATCCGGCTGTATAAGGAGAGAATGAAAGCCCTGGGCTACCTCAGCTCTGCTTTTAATGAGGAACAGCAGGTAGCTAGTGGAAATTGTAACCAAACTAATCACTCTTGGACAGACTACGTAAAAAATAGTACCATACATACACTACATGGCCAAAAGTATGTGGACACCCCTTCAAATTAGTGGATTTGGCTATTTCAGCCACACCTGTTGCTGAGCACACAGCCATGCAATCTCCATAGACAAACATTGGCAGTAGAATGGCCTTACTGAAGAGCTCCGTGACTATCAATGTGGCACCGTCATAGGATTCTGGAGTGGTGTAAACCTCGCCACCATTAGACTCTGGAGCAGTGGAAATGCGTTCTCTGGAGTGATGAATCACGCTTCACCATCTGGCACGGACAAATCTGGGTTTGGCGAATGCCAGGAGAACGCTACCTGCCCCAATGCATAGTGCCAACTGTAAAGTTTGGAGGAGGAGAAATAATGGTCTGGGGCTGTTTTTCATGGTTCGGGGCTAAGCCCCTTAATTCCAGTGAAGGGAAATCTTTAACGCTACAACATACGATGACATTCTAGACGATTCTGTGCTTCCAACTTTATGGCAACAGTTTGGGGAAGGCCCTTTCCTGTTTCAGCATGACAATGCCCCCGTGCACAAAGCGAGGTCCATACAGAAATAGTTTGTCGAGATCGGTGTGGAAGAACTTGACTGGCCTGCACAGAGCCCTTACCTCAACCCCATCGAACACCTTTGGGATGAATTGGAACGCCAACTAAGAAGCCAGGCCTAATCGCCCAACATCAGTGCCCGACCTCACTAATGCTCTTGTGAATTAATGGAAGGAAGTCCCCGCAGCAATGTTCCAATATCTAGTGGAAAATCTTCCCAGAAGAGTGGAGGCTGTTATAGCAGGAAAGGGGGGACCAACTTCATATTAATGCCCATGATTTTGGAATGAGATGTTCGACAAGTAGGTGTCCACATATTGGATGCGCCGGATAACAAGCAGCAGTAGTTCTGGTGCTTGAACCCAGAACTTAATCTGACCAAATTCTGTGAGATTTTAGTTCTGGGTTAAACAAGATTTATAACCAGGCCACAACACAGAACTAGACCAAATGTAATGTCCACCCTATTTTGGTGGTTCAATGTTGCTGGTTCAATTGCACAAAACTTTAGTTAAAATACTTATTTCCTACTTGGCCCATAAATCCTTAATAACCCCACTCTGTTTTTCTATAATCCCTAAGCCGTCAACCTCAACCCTCCAGTCAGTATCAGCCAACGAAGGCCTGAACCTGAATGAGCTCAACGTCACCGTCCGATGCTGCAGCAACCTGACATCCCGCCAGGCCCACCCACCCAGCCCCTACGTGGTCTACCAGTTCTATGACTTCCCTGACCACGACACCTGCATCATGGGCGACTGCAGCGAGCCTCAGTTTGAGGACCACATGTCCTTCCCAGTGGCCATGGAGGCAGAGCTGGACAGCTACCTGAAAGCAGGGGCTCTGCTGCTCTACGTGTTCGATGACCACGATACCCAGAGTGAGATGTACCTGGGCAAGGCCAGGGTGCCCCTCCTGTCTCTGGCCCACGACAAGGCCATCACTGGTTAGTTTGGTAGTTAATCAGGGTGGTTAGTTAGAGCAACTACACTGGTAATTATTGACTTTGAGTGTGTTTGTATGTGTGGAGGTTTGGTTAGTACTTTTATCTGTCAGTGTCTTCAAACTGTATACGTTACTTCCATGTTTTGCCTATTTTATTGAATCTTAGTCACACAAACGACTCGTTTTTGTTTGAGTGGGACCAGTTGGGCCACTCCAACCATTAACATCCCCTCTGTGTGTCCTAATTTCAGGTACATTTGAGCTGACTGACCCGTCCGGCCTCCCCAGTGGCCATATTGATGTGATGCTAAAGTGGAAGTTCACCTACCTCCCTCCTCCTGGCTCTACCATGACAGTTGAACAGGCCAAGTTTGTACCCAAAGAGAGACCAGTGAAGCTAACAACACGAAAGGTAGAGGAGAAGAAGGTGGAAGTGGAGGAGAAGAGGGAAGAGGAGGAAAAGAGGGAGGGAAAGAAAGAGGAGTTGAGGATGGTGGTGAAGGAAGAGAAAAGGGCTAAAGCTCTTCTTCCTCTTCCTACTACTTCCACTGTATCTGAGGTAAGGATGGTTTGATGGATTTTGAGGTGGCTTCCAGTACAGAAATAGTATTTACTACGATGTACCTTTTGAAATGCCATTTGATGGGAAAAGATTGATTTCAGTTACCTTTTGGTTTTTGATTTGTCATGAAATTGTGTTTGATTCTTGTCTCCCAAGATACCGTTACCAAAACCTAGACTACGGACCTTGGTGAAAGACAAAACGGCAAGCAAAAAGGTCTCATTCATGGATGTCACAGCCCCTGAAAATCAAGAAACTGAAAATGTTTCATATCCCTCTAGTTTGCCTGGAACAGAGAAAAGGGAAGTCTCAAAGCTACCACCCATAACAAAGGTACATTATGTCTCTCGTCTCTGAGTTATACGTTATATTAAACACATACCTTTCCTGAGGTTTGGTGAAGATGGGATTATTTTACTTCATGTTATAGTTGTAATTTTAGCTTGTGTGTGTATATACACTGGAACTGTAATGAGGCAATTCAATGTGATGATTAAGCTTTATTTAGAGTTACTGTCTACTGTGAGATTATGCAAGGGTTACATGCATAGAACGGTGATGTGCTCCACAGGTGGTCACAGGGTCAGAGGTAGCACCAATTCCTCCTCAGAGCACCACAGAGGAAGAGGATGATGAGGAAGAGTCTTACTTCTCTGAGGGACAGGTGATCGCAGCCAGCTCTCAGTCAACCTCAGACGAATCAGACATTTCCGAGGAGATTCTCGAACAGATGGAAGGTAAGCATCTCACTGATATCAACAACAACAACCCTAACAGAAACATGTAACAATAATAACAACCAGTTTTCTGTTTTCCTTTGTCCAACGATAACGCTAATAATTTGTATCAAGGTCCTATCGGAATTGGCAAGGATATGTTTGTTTTCCCTGCTCTCCCTGTCTTGTGTTTTGGAGTGCAGCTGCAATTTTTCTACTTCTTGCATCAATCTTAATCATTTTCCAGCAAGGCCTGATTTACAAACAAAACCCAAACCTGTACTGTAACTCTCTTAAGTATGACTTTAGTGTACAGTACCTGCTTTTTAGTCTAACACTGAGTTAGGATAGGGTTAGGGCTGCAGGTCAGCTCTGGCTCTTCAGCCTTACACCCACATTTACATTTTAGTCATTTAGCAGACGCTCTAATCCAGAGCGATTTACAGTAGTAAGTGCATGCATTTTTGAACTGGTCCCCCATGGGGATCGAACCCACAACCCCTGGCATTGCAAGCGCCATGCTCTACCAACTGAGCTCCACGGGACCAAATCCCCTATGGATCCTTAGGAAACAAATACTCACTATTGTATTCTCTTTTAAGTGCAAACTGTCCATGTTATTGTTTGCTGGCATGTTTCTTCACCAGAAAGTCCATAAATATTTAATTCTGCTGCCAATAGTCTTCAGGCTGGGGATAGCTGAGCCCATCAATGTTAATGCTGACCTTGAGTAGTACAGGACAGACACCCCCTTCAAAGTTCAGCAGTGGTACATAGAGTTGAAGTCGGATGTTTACGTACACCTTAGCCAAATACATTTAAACTCAGTTTTTCACAATTCCTGACATTTTATCCTAGTAGAAATGCACTGTCTTAGGTCAGTTAGGATCACCACTTTATTTTAAGAATGTGAAATGTCAGAATAATAGTAGAGAGAATGATTTATTTCAGCTTTTATTTATTTCATCACATTCCCAGTGGGTCAGAAGTTTACATACACTCAATTAGTATTTGGTTGCATTGCCTTTAAATTGTTTAACTTGGGTCAAACTTTTCGGGTAGCCTTCCACAAGCTTCCCACAATAAGTTGGGTGAATTTTGGCCCATTCCTCCTGACAGAGCTAGTGTAACTGAGTCAGGTTTGTAGGCCTCCTTGCTCGCACACGCTTTTTCAGTTCTGCCCACAAATTTTCTATAGGATTGAGGTCAGGGCTTTGTGATGGCCACTCCAATACCTTGACTTTGTTGTCCTTAAGCCATTTTGACACAACTTTGGAAGTATGCTTGGGGTCATTGTCCATTTGGAAGACCCATGTGCGACCAAGCTTTAACTTCCTGACTGATGTCTTGAGATGTTGCTTCAATATATCCACATAATCTTCCTTCCTCATGATGCCATCTATTTTGTGAAGTGCACCAGTCCCTCCTGCAGCAAAGCACCCCCACAGCATGATGCTGCCACCCCCGTGCTTCACGGTTGGGATGGTGTTCTTCGGCTTGCAAGCCTTCCCCTTTTTCCTCCAAACATAACGATGGTCATTATGGACAAACATTTCTATTTTTGTTTCATCAGACCAGAGGACATTTCTCTCAAAAGTACGATATTTGTCCCCATGTGCAGTTGCAAACCGTAGTCTGGCTTTTTTATGGTGGTTTTGGAGCAGTGGATTCTTCCTTGCTGAGTGGCCTTTCAGGTTATGTCGATATAGGACTCGTTTTACTGTGGATATAGATACTTTTGTACCTGTTTCCTCCAGCATCTTCACAAGGTCCTTTGCTGTTGTTCTGGGATTGATTTGCACTTTTCGCAGCAAAGTACGTTCATCTCTAGGAGACAGAACGCGTCTCCTTCCTGAGCGGTATGACGGCTGCGTGGTCCCATGGTGTTTATACTTGCGTACTATTGTTTGTACAGATGAATGTGGTACCTTCAGGCGTTTGGAAATTGCTCCAAAGGATGAACCAGACTTGTGGAGGTCTAAAAAAAAATTCCTGAGGTCTTGGCTGATTTATTTTGATTTTCTTATGATGTCAAGCAAAGAGGCACTGAGTTTGAAGGTAGGCCTTGAAATACATCCACAGGTACAAATGATGTCAATTAGCCTATCAGAAGCTTCTAAAGCCATGACATCATTTTCTGGAATTTTCCAAGCTGTTTAAAGGCACAGTCAACTTAGTGTATGTAAACTTCTGACCCACTGGAATTGTGATACAGTGAATTGTAAGTGAAATAATCTGTCTGTAAACAATTGTTGGAAAAATTACTTGTGTCATGCACAAAGTAGATGTCCAAACCGACTTGCCAAAACTATAGTTTAACAAGAAATTTGGGAGTGGTTGAAAAACAAGTTTTAATGACTCCAACCTAGGTGTATGTAAACTTCTGACTTCAACTGTATCACTCAGCCTGCATCAATGAAACTCACTGTCAATGCCAATAAGAATAGGTCATGTCATGTCAACTGTTCTCATTCTCCCCAGTTCCTTTCGAAACACGCATGCAGTGTACACACACACACGCTCACAGCAACACTTATGAATCTTGTCCTACTTAATCACTCAGTATTACCCCCCCTCACTTGCTTCCTTCTGCAACACATCAAGCCTGAAATGCTCTCGTTGGTTATGACTGAATCTCTATTCCCCCCCCCCCCCCTATTTTTCCCTCTCTCCCCCCTCCCCCAGATGTGGAGGAGGCCCCAGTGGTGGAGTACGAGGAACAGAGTGAATCTATCCTCTCAGACAGTGATGACTGCATTGTTCCTGGCCAGTCCTCCATGGGACAGAAGGTGGGTGGACCAAGGATAGAGGATAGAACCCAGCCTGTTTACCTTGTACTCTCAGAGTCCATTGAGGATAGGAGTAAAGTACAGTTGGATAGGAAGTACTGTATCAAGGTTGTTGGGCTTGTTGTGTTTATATCAAGGCCGTTGGTTCTTCAATGTACACAGTGTAAGGGCCATGTATCACGGGAATATAACACCAGCATCCAGGTGAAAGCTGATGATCAGCTTTGGGGAAAAAAGTTTTACTCAACAAGTCTAGTTTGCTTTAAGTTATTTTTGTTTATGTTACCAACCCCCAATGTTTGGACAAACCTCTAGTGCTGTAGGTATATTTACTGTGCCAAGGTTTTCTACTGATCACCTTTAACCAGTTTGTCAAATGGGATTATTGATTCTTTATTCAAAGCACAAAACAAAACACAAGTATTCATTCATCATTAATGGTGTGGATTTGAACTGTACAGATATATCCAGTTCAATATTAGCTGCAGTATTATTGTTGATGGATAGAAAAGCTTAGAAAGATGGATAGAAAAAAGATTTCTCACTGATCATCTATCTGGAAGGAGGTGGAGCGATTGTTCTGCAAGTGAGTTACTTGTATATTCCTTTCACATCTGCTTAGAATGTTATTTTACAGTATATTTATAATTTATTTTGCTATTTTAGATTACTCTCATTATTTTAGTAGTTTATATTTCAGTACAATTATGTCTGATCCTTCCAAACATATTAGGAGGTATAAGAAATAAGGAATCATCTCCAGTATATGACTATCTGGAATTCTTCAGTCATTACTGCCCTGATAGGTTAAGATTCTACAGAGTGTTCTTATAGACACATCAGCCTAGTAAATGGGATCCGCAGCATCAATATTAACCAATAGACTTTCCAAAATCCCACCACAGGTAAAGCCTAAATGATGATCAACCCTTGTTTATTCCAGTGGAGTTCTATTACCGAGTCTTATTACATTACAGCGTCCTGTTTGTCTCTGCAGCCTTCTGCGCGTGTGCGTGTGGAGATAGTGTCTCTGAGCCTGAGGCCTGAGTCGCGGGCAGCAGCAGACAGTAGTGTGGTCAGGCTGTTTGTAGAGTATTCCCTGTTGGACATGCCCTCTGAAGAGACGCCACTGTCCCTGTCCAAACCCTCACCGGGCAAGACCAGCCACTACAACTACAGCAATGGTAAGGGATACCAGAGAGAGCCTACATACACTAATACACTCACATATATGCTGAACACACACACACCACAGGAGGTTGGTGGCACCTTAATTGGGGAGGGTGGGCTCGTGGTAATGGCTGGAGCGGAATAGGTGGAACGGTATTAAATATATCAAACACATGGTTTCTATGTGTTTGATGCCATTCCAGCCATTTTTATGAGCCGTCCTCCCCTCAGCAGCCTCCACTGACACACACATATACTCTCTCAAGCACACACACACACACACACACACACACACACACACACACACACACACAAACAAACAAATACTCATACAATGTACACTCTGTCATTCTTACTGAGCCCTTGCCAGTGTAGAATTTCAGCTACAGATAAAGTAGCTAAAGAGCAACTGACAGGCTTGATGGAGCAACTCTGAAATGTTTCCTCCATTGACTCTGTATGTGTGTGTACTTGGAGTGTCAGATATGATTCAGTAAGCCATGCCTTGTTTCTCCTGACAGTGATTCATGTGGACATAGAGAATAACAAGACCAGACGGGAGATTCTAAGAGGGGTACTAGAAGGACGCAACCCACAAATGGAAAAGTAAGAAAAAGGTTAAGAGTGTGTGTGTTTGTTTGTACATTGCGTGTGCGTGCGTGCGTGCGCATGCATTCTGGTAGTAAAAAAGGAGGCATAGCTGAGATTTCCCTTGCAAAACTGAAAGTAACATTACGCAACATTACTGTCAGGTAGAAAATAGCCTAAATGAATAGACCAGATAGTGATGAGTTATGTGCTTCTCTATGGCATTGCTGGTCATGGAAGACAAGAAGGCGAGACCGAGGACAGCACTGTTCTAGACTGAACTGTTCTAGAAATGACAGACTGTAGATCTAGAAATTTACAGACCGTTCTAGAGATTACGTATTAACCTTGCCTGACCACTGACCTGCTGTGATTGGTCCTGTCTAACCTCTGGTGTGTTGTGATTGGCCAGTATCAGGTTCACGGTGGTGAGCGAGCCACCGGAGGAGGAGGAGCAGGAAAAAGAGTGTGAAGACGTGGGCGTGGCCTTCTTCAGGATCCCTGACATCCTGGAGCAACAGCAGGACCTGATTGAGACCAGCCTGAACAGTGAGTATTGTGTATGTATATTGTGTAGAAAACTGGGTCTTTATGTCAACTTGTGCAACAGGAAGTAAAACCTTTTTGTTTTCTCTCACCCCATCCCTCTGTTTTTCTTTGTGCGTCTCTCTCTATCGCTCTCTCTCTTTCTTCTCCCTCTCCCACTCTTTGTCTCTCTTTCTGAGTGTGTAGTTGTGGATGTGCAGGACAGCAGTGTGGTGGTGGGCAGTCTGTGTGTGTCTGTAGAGGGACTGGAGGCACTACAGTCTATCATGGAGGACCCAGACCATGACTACACGCCCCTCTCCTCACTGGAACAAAAGGCAGAGGGTTAACTCACAACAAACATGTTACTAGTGTGAATGACTGGGGTGTGGAGCCGGGGCTCCTGCACGCCACAAGACACAAGTCTTCTGGTCTCAGACAAGGTTACCTATCACATAAATATGGTTCACCAAATCACCGCTGTAACACTAGAAATCAGTGGAGGCTGGTGGGAGGCGCTATAGGAGGACGGGCTCATTGTAATGGATGGGATGGACGGAGTCAAACTTGTGGTTTCCATATATTTGATACCGTTCCATTCCAGCATCTACAATTAGCCTGTCCTCCTATAGCTCCTCCCACTAGCCGACTGCTTGAAATACATTTTACTGCTGTTTACACAAGTATTCATCACTTCACTTATTTATTCTGGGAGCTACAAGAAGTAAAACATGGAATGTGTAATGGAAAAAATGGTCTATGGACACATTTTTCTATGTTCTGATACTGTTGCGTATGCAAATTAGTAATTAGAAAATTATACTGTATTTAGATTATATATTTTATTTATATATTTTTATAGTTGAAAGGGATTATATTATGAGGCAGTATGGCACTCCATGTCAATGGCGTGATGTGTGAAATTGTGTTAGTAAAAAACAGTATATTTTATAGGGCCTTGTAACATTGGCTCTGGTTATAATTGGATAATTAGCACATTAGCACAAACCAGGAGTAATGTACGGACTGTGAAAATGTGTACCTCAACCATATTTTAGATTATGTTTATATCTGAAATGAGGCTGTTCAGTAGAGTTATAGAATGTCCAAAGCATTGACGAATATCTTATTTTTAAGAGAGTAATAAAGAGTTTAGTTTCTACATTTCCTTATTTTTTTGTATTGATTCCTATCCTTTATTTGTTTCGTTTTAATGATTGCCAGAACAACCTCCTTGGCAGGATTTAATATTGCAGGGTTCACTGGCTCTGAAACGTGCTCAATTTCTTACATTTTACATTTACATTACATTTTAGTCATTTAGCAGACGCTCTTATCCAGAGCGACTTACAGTTAGTGAATACATATATTTTTATACTGGCCCCCCGTGGGAATCGAACCCACAACCCTGGCGTTGCAAACGCCATGCTCTATCAACTGAGCTACATCCCTGCCGGCCATTCCCTCCCCTACCCTGGACGACGCTGGGCCGATTGTGCGCCGCCCATGAGTCTCCCGGTCGCGGCCGGCTGCGACAGAGCCTGGATTCGAACCAGGATCTCTAGTGGCACAGTTAGCACTGCGATGCAGTGCCTTAGACCACTGCGCCGCTTCTTGTGACATATTAAATATCTGCCCCAGAGGTCAAGGCAATTGGGTGTCCACTCATTTGTGTGTTATAAAGCCCTTTGAAAAGAGGATCATAGTCCTATAAGCGAAATCCTCACATTCTTCTCAAGGCTTGTGGTTATAAGGGAATTAAGTGTTGATTACACCATAGAAGTATGTTGTGGTCATGAAAGGGATGTTGACTTACACTACAGTACCATCTAGTGTTGATTTGATGCATCTCATCTGAGACAATATTTTAAAAAGTAAAAATATGCATCTACTGTGTAGAAAATGCCACTGATTCCATACAGTGGCTTGCAAAAGTATTCACCCCCCTTGGCATTTTTCCTATTTTGTTGCCTTACAACCTGGAATTAAAATTGATTTTTTGGGGGGTTTGTATCATTTGATTTACACAAAATGCCTACCACTTTGAAGATGCAAAAAAAAAAAGTGAAACAAACAAGAAATAAGACCAAAAAAAAAAAGACCTTGAGCGTACATAACTATTTACATTTGTCATTTAGCAGACGCTCTTATCCAGAGCGACTTACAAATTGGTGCATTCACCTTATGATAGCCAGTGGGACAACCACTTTACAATATACAGTGGGGAGAACAAGTATTTGATACACTGCCGATTTTGCAGGTTTTCCTACTTACAAAGCATGTAGAGATCTGTCATTTTTATCATAGGTACACTTCAACTGTGAGAGACGGAATCTAAAATAAAAATCCAGAAAATCACATTGTATGATTTTTAAGTAATTAATTTGCATTTTATTGCATGACATAAGTATTTGATCACCTACCAACCAGTAAGAATTCCGGCTCTCACAGACCTGTTAGTTTTTCTTTAAGAAGCCCTCCTGTTCTCCACTCATTACCTGTATTAATTGCACCTGTTTGAACTCGTTACCTGTATAAAAGACACCTGTCCACACACTCAATCAAACAGACTCCAACCTCTCCACAATGGCCAAGACCAGAGAGCTGTGTAAGGACATCAGGGATACAATTGTAGACCTGCACAAGGCTGGGATGGGCTACAGGACAATAGGCAAGCAGCTTGGTGAGAAGGCAACAACTGTTGGCGCAAGTATTAGAAAATGGAAGAAGTTCAAGATGACGGTCAATCACCCTCGGTCTGGGGCTCCATGCAAGATCTCACCTCGTGGGGCATCAATGATCATGAGGAAGGTGAGGGATCAGCCCAGAACTACACGGCAGGACCTGGTCAATGACCTGAAGAGAGCTGGGACCACAGTCTTAAAGAAAACCATTAGTAACACACTTCGCTGTCATGGATTAAAATCCTACAGCGCATGCAAGGTCCCCATGCTCAAGCCAGCGCATGTCCAGGCCCGTCTGAAGTTTGCCAATGACCATCTGGATGATCCAGAGGAGGAATGGGAGAAGGTCATGTGGTCTGATGAGACAAAAATAGAGCTTTTTGGTCTAAACTCCACTCGCCGTGTTTGGAGGAAGAAGAAGGATGAGTACAACCCCAAGAACACCATCCCAACCGTGAAGCATGGAGGTGGAAACATCATTCTTTGGGGATGCTTTTCTGCAAAGGGGACAGGACAACTGCACCGTATTGAGGGGAGGATGGATGGGGCCATGTATCGCGAGATCTTGGCCAACAACCTCCTTCCCTCAGTAAGAGCATTGAAGATGGGTCGTGGCTGGGTCTTCCAGCATGACAACGACCCGAAACACACAGCCAGGGCAACTAAGGAGTGGCTCCGTAAGAAGCATCTCAAGGTCCTGGAGTGGCCTAGCCAGTCTCCAGACCTGAACCCAATAGAAAATATTTGTAGGGAGCTGAAAGTCTGTATTGCCCAGCGACAGCCCCGAAACCTGAAGGATCTGGAGAAGGTCTGTATGGAGTGGGCCAAAATCCCTGCTGCAGTGTGTGCAAACCTAGTCAAGACCTACAGGAAACGTATGATCTCTGTAATTGCAAACAAAGGTTTCTGTACCAAATATTAAGTTCTGCTTTTCTGATGTATCAAATACTTATGTCATGCAATAAAATGCAAATTAATTACTTAAAAATTATACAATGTGATTTTCTGGATTTTTGTTATAGATTCCGTCTCTCACAGTTGAAGTGTACCTATGATAAAACAAATACAGACCTCTACATGCTTTGTAAGTAAGAAAACCTGCAAAATCAAATACTTGTTCTCCCCACTGTATGTATGTATGTATGTATGTATGTATATATATATGTATGTATATATATATATATATATATATTTTTTTTGGTGGGGGTAGGGGGAGGGTAGAAGGATTACTTTTATCCTATCCCAGGTATTCCTTAAAGAGGTGGGGTTTCAAGTGTCTCCGGAAGGTGGTGAGTGACTCCGCTGTCCTGGCGTCGTGAGGGAGCTTGTTCCACCATTGGGGTGCTAGAGCAGCGAACAGTTTTGACTGGGCTGAGCGGGAACTGTGCTTCCGCAGAGGTAGAGGGGCCAGCAGGCCAGAGGTGGATGAACACAATGCCCTCGTTTGGGTGTAGGGACTGATCAGAGCCTGAAGGTACGGAGGTGCCAATCCCCTCACAGCTCTGTAGGCAAGCACCATGGTCTTGTAGCAGATGCGGGCTTCAACTGGAAGCCAGTGGAGTGTGCGGAGGAGCGGGGTGACGTGAGAGAACTTGGGAAGGTTGAACACCAGACGGGCTGCAGCATTCTGGATGAGTTGTAGGGGTTTAATGGCACAGGCAGGGAGCCCAGCCAACAGCGAGTTGCAGTAATCCAGACGGGAGATGACAAGTGCCTGGATTAGGACCTGTGCCGCTTCCTGTGTAAGGTAGGGTCGTACTCTGCGAATGTTGTAGAGCATGAACGTACAGGATCGGGTCACCACTTTGATGTTAGCGGAGAACGACAGGGTGTTGTCCAGGATCACGCCAAGGCTCTTTGCACTCTGGGAGGAGGACACAACGGAGTTGTCAACCGTGAAGGCGAGATCATGGAGCGGGCAGTCCTTCCCCGGGAGGAAGAGCAGCTCTGTCTTGCCGAGGTTCAGCTTGAGGTGGTGATCCGTCATCCACACTGATATGTCTGCCATTTTTTTACATTTACATTTTAGTCATTTAGCAGACGCTCTTATCCAGAGCGACTTACAGTTAGTGAGTGCATACATTATATTTTTCATACTGGCCCCCCGTGGGAATCGAACCCACAACCCTGGCGTTGCAAACGCCATGCTCTACCAACTGAGCTACATCCCTGCCGGCCATTCCCTCCCCTACCCTGGACGACGCTGGGCCAATTGTGCGCCGCCCCATGGGTCTCCCGGTCATGGCCGGCTACGACAGAGCCTGGATTCGAACCAGGATCTCTAGTGGCACAGCTAGCACTGCGATGCAGTGCCTTAGACCACTGCGCCACTCGGGAGATCAAGAAAAATGTCTCTGCCAGACACTCGGGAGATCAAGAAAAATGTCTCTGCCAGACATGCAGAGATGCGATTCGCCACCTGGTTATCAGAAGGGGGAAAGGAGAAGATTAATTGTGTGTCGTCTGCGTAGCAATGATAGGAGAGACCATGTGAGGATATGACAGAGCCAAGTTATTTGGTGTATAGAGAGAATAGGAGAGGGCCTAGAACTGAGCCCTGGGGGACACCAGTGGTGAGAGCACGTGGTGCGGAGACAGATTCTCGCCACGCCACCTGGTAGGAGCGACCTGTGAGGTAGGACGCAATCCAAGAGTGAGCCGCGCCGGAGATGCCCAACTCGGAGAGGGTGGAGAGGAGGATCTGATGGTTCACAGTATCAAAGGCAGCAGATAGGTCTAGAAGGATGAGAGCAGAGGAGAGAGAGTTAGATT